TGCTCCTTGTCTATGACATGATTGGTTTCGGCCAAATGTAATGCAATCGCGCTTGAGCCTGGTTTCTCCCCATCACGACTCAGAAATACGGGTTTGTGTCTTCACATTCTGTCCGACAAATGACTTGTCCTATGACCAACGTCTGATGCTCGGCACGAGCGGCTATCGGGGGAGAAATTCTCCCCTGCTGATATTTTGAAAAACTTCAGGATCTCTTAAAAAGTATGACGCAGTATTTTCGCTTTCAATTGCAGATCAGATGGGATTTGCTTCCCTAACCGGAGCCACGTCTGGGAATGAATTGATCGAATGGATTGTGCTGTAGACTAAAACCGTCTGTAAATTCATTCGAGTGAAAAATGTACCATGCAATTCAGCTGAAAGGAACTATAGGAAGCCGGGTTACATTCCGATATTTCTCTAGATTTCGTGGGGTCGGATTTCACATCGGTCAGTATTGATCAAGGAAAAGAGGTGAATGGAGGAAAAGTTACAAACTCTAGCAGGAAAAGAAGACTGTGTAAAGGATCACAACATGCCCGTATGTTAGTGCGTAATGAACAGCTGATCACTGCCACTTTAGGCTGGGGTCGGCTAACAAACTGCTGGGTTCAAGTAGAACATAAGGTTGACGGAAACTCGGGGACTGCGCCTACCTGATGAGCCTGAATTGGAAGGGCGAAACCGGTCGTGGGCTGTCGAAGAGTTTTCAGCAACCTTGTGAGTAGCTTCCTTTATGAGAAAATGCTATCCACTTTCCTTGACTGATGATCTTAGCTGGGTGTTATACGTTTGGACTAACAAAAAGCCGGAGCGAAATTAATTCGCCGTTGATTACAGTAGCACTGTGGTCGAATGCGTGATAAATGCTGAAGCCAGTTATGTGTTTTGTGAAAATCACGTGGTTTCGTCAACGATCACTACTCACAAGGTTACTCAGCACCCTTTGACAGTCCACGGTGGGTTACGCACGCTCCTCTTCGGGCTCATTAGGTAGGTGTGGTCCCCGAGTTTCCTTACGTTATATTTGAACAAAAATTGTACGCCTTTGGCGAAAAAAAGTTATTTCCAAACGAATTTGTGGCCTTTGTGCAACACATTAGGCCAAAGAATATCATAAACCCGGATATTCTTGCCCAGTGTAGCGGCTGGCATTTGCTGTTTTCGCGCACTGACGATATCGATTTCTACACGCCCAATCAAATTGCTGCTAGTCCCTGAGCTCTTCAACCTTTGCGAGTCCGATATTTTCTTGTATTCTGATTGGTCTGTTGTTGCGTGTCTGTTCTGTGCCTGACGCCAGTTCATGTGGTACGCAGTCCCATCTCCTCTCGTATTTCTCACTATCGTACGGATTAGGACAACATGGTACTATGCTTGCAACCAACCCATAGAAGCATACTTCATAGGTTAGTCTACACAAATGAGGATGGTAGCGTGACGTTCGGCGCTCCAGATTAACCAGTCTGTTGGAGAAGATCGTTCATCTGTAACAATCTATTGCTACCCAGGTGAGTTGACACCCGAAAGAATACGGAACGCTGAGTAACAGTCAGGTTGCCCAAGACTGGACAGCAGCACTGGGATTGCCAGAGTTAGGGCTCGAAGCAGGGACCCCCTGGTCAATAAATGTTCACCGAGCTACCATTGAGCCATTTCAAGCCACCTACATCAGAAGTCCTAGTCTCTACGTCTGCCCCGCGCAGAACTACTCTTGTAGATGTTGGTTCATGGATAGATAGATAACAGCCAATGGAATAACCGTTTTCGTTGAGACATATTTCATTGGTTGTTCTTCACTCGTCCTTGACAGATGAGTTGACCTGTACGCTACAATGATCAATAGATCAGCCGGTTCGCACGTTCGTTGACTTTTTTCTGGTTTGGTCAAGCCCCCCAAGCTATCAATCAGCTATCCTGATCCGGGGTTCACGGTAATAAGAAAGCATTAAGGAGACTGTGGTCCACAAAAGGGAACAAGTTTACTGAAATGGGATTAGCCTATCAATTTTGAGTATACGATACAATGACAAATGAGGAAACATCACGTCACATCTTAAACCACAGCAATCAACATCTTTTCGGCTCGTTTCCAAAGTTTGTTTCAAAGTCCGCAACGCAAATGGACGAAATATGTTCACTTTTTCTGAGTAGCGTATAGTTGGTTAAATACGGTGCGATCTCCGGTGCACAATCTCCGTGCAGCTAAGATAGTTGGGTGGAATGCAGTTGAATGGTGAAAGCCTATTCATCATTTCGCTAATGGACACGTTAAAAAATGTCGGTGAATGTTTTACCTGGGTGTCGCACGTATCTACGCAGGTTGTAACAGCAAACTGCCTGTTAAAAGTTTCATTTCAGAATGTTTTGTTACAATGCAAGCACCCTGGAGAGCAACTTGTTTAGGTGCGATAAATTTTATTTTCTCTTTGGAGTACATCCCGTTCCGTAACGTAGTATATGAAGGGTTTTTTCTGCGCGAAAAGTAAGATTTTCATCCCCGTACTTCTAAGTTAAGGGTTTGTGGATTTTCCCTTGCTTCTATGCAGGACAGTGATTACTGACGGCATCATAAAACAACGGCGAAAGGGAAATGCGCAAGTTCTGTGAAGCAGGACAATTTGGAAGTGGCCACGCGGGGCTTTTTGCGAATTCGACGCACTACCACCGGCGTTCGCCGGTAGAACTATCTATAGACGTTTACTTCACGACTCGACCTTGACTTATCTCGTCATGGTCACCCCAAGGTCAAGATAGCCCCAGATCGTTGCCATAGACAAGCTTACATGCACTAAGATCGGGTATACTCCAGAACTGAGTATATAGCACATTGCAAAACGTTAATCTGTTCAATCTACATTGCACTGCATGTCCGATCACGCGTTCGAATGATAATCGATCAGTAATCAGTTTTCCCCGTAATGTTACGAGATCAGGCGGAGGGAGGAGCTTTCTACTGATAGCAACTGATAAAGTTGACCCTACCTAATATATCGAACGCGTTTGACGTGGATCTGCATCTGCTGTAGAATAAAGTAGGTATCCTAATTTACTGACGCAGTAAACAAATAACTAAAAATACCGCTTTTTTGCGTGCACCAAGTTTTCAGCTGACCATCCGCCCGTGGAAGACTCATTCCTTTATTACACACCCATCTTATATTGTTGAGAATTTCATTTCAGTATAGTTTGACGTAACCTGTTGTAGTTTCAAAATCTCTCTACTACTTATAAATTATTAGTAGCCCTCTCAGAAGAGGGAAGATTTACAGTAGGGTCTTCACTCTGTGTCCCAGTCGACATGGAATCTCACCATGTACATGGAGAGAGTGACGGTGGTACTTTCCCTCTGAGAATGACTTTACACATCGCCGATTCATCACTTGAAGCCGAATGAAAAGATGTTTATCCCGCTAACCGAGAGACCATGGGTTCTGATCCTCCTCAGGGTTCTTGTGAGCCGTTAACTCCAGGATACGTGGGATAGTTTAACAATGCTGCCCTACTTTTTGACATACGTCTTCCGGATCAACTATCCACTGAAAGCTCAGTTAATTGCTGATTCCAATGGTGTGTCAATCTACGCATTGTCGTTAATCCTATCCTTCTAGGAGGTGGTTAGAAAAATATGAGGAAGTTGCGAAATTTTACTAGTTCTAGAGCCGTTAACTACAGGATACGTGGGACAGTTTAACAATGCTGCCCGGATCAACTATTCACTGAAAGCTGATTTACTTGCTGATTTCCATGGTGAGTCAATCTACAAATTGTCGTTAATCCTATCCTTCTAGGAGGTGGTTAGAAAAATATGAGGAAGTTGCGAAATTTTACTAGTTCTACAGCAGGACCTTCGTTGGATGGCGCACATATCCAATCACTTACCAGTAAACACCAAAGTTGCAGAGGGTGTACTTTGAAATAGACTTCCATGCATCTCGTGGAAGAGGAGGGAAAATGAAATCGGCCGGACAAATCAACTCCCTCACCCAGCATGGACCTAAACCTTGAAAATTTTATGAGGCAAATTACTCACAAGGTTGCTGAAGACTCTTCGACAGCCCAAGACCGGTTTCGCCCTTCTTGTGGCTTATCATACTGCGATATCTCGAATATCATGCCAACTGAAACGCCAGGCGACCTGTGTTGTGTGTAGCCAGTTGAGTCTCTCGTTAAAATCAAACTGATTTACATATTAGTGTATTTCCTGAAAATTTTAGTTTTTCCACGGCAATTTAATTTAAAAATGTCATGAATACTGGCGCTTCTAATGGCCAGCTTTTTCCAGGGTTCGGTGACTTTTTTAGCAGAGAACTTTTCCGTTTGCCTGTCCTGATGGGAGGTGACTACAATATGAACAAATTTCATGCGCGGATCGATAGATTTGATAGATAATCACCTATCAAAGCATGTGAAAAATGGCTACTAAAAATGGCTACTTTGAAAATTCAGTCCAGTTACGTTAATGAGGTATAACTTTTCAAAGTGACCCACTCCCCGCACCGACTTAGCAGCTCGAAAAATCCCACAGATGTTTACCAGCGCACATTTCACCTAGTTCGCACCCAATGATCGCGTGTTTTTGACAAACAAGTATCAAATGCTCTTTTCTAAACTGGTTTTTGATAACAAACTTTCCAATTGACTGGACAGGACCTATCGGAAACTAAGTGTTCAAGTTCATTATTTTGAGGCAACATGCTCTCTTGCCTGTGTGTAATAAAGCCTCACTTTTGAAGAAGATAAAACTGTCTGCTTGGCAGTTTTAACAATCTATACAATAATTACGATGAAATATTTTTGCAAGGAGCCATGAAGCAATACCTGGGAATGACAACAGCTACTAAACTTTTGCACGTTTGCTATTGGCTCTTTGACATTGGCGGGCGAGCCCTGACTGACCAATAGAAACTGAGTTACATGAGATGATGACGATTGGTCGAATATCGAGCGATAAAAACACTCACTATGTAAGAATCACTCATTAATTATCATGACTATGGGCGAAAATGGATTTGTAAATATGCATTAGTAGCAACACTTTCAGTCTGATTCACTTTCAACATGAAACAGCAAAAAGCACCCCGGCAAAAATTCAAATGGAAGTTCACAAAAGGCATGTTCCAGAGACCTCTGGAAACCGTGAGTTTATATGTTGCCTTAGTGTTCAAGCACGTTTTACTATCCACGCTGCCAATGAAACCCTGCTTGTCTGTGTTTAAAACTCACTGTTAGGTTAGCAGAAGCTCAAAGAAATCAAACAAGTCGGGAATTGTCGAACTTTTGAATTGATTATGTACGGTTGAAAATATTTTTTCTTCCCCGGGTTGGATAGAATCCAAGGGCACAAAGTGTGCATCACGTTTGGAACGCCCGATAAATTCATCCTTTTCCGCTCTAATGAAAGAACTGCCGATGACAGAGGAGCAGAGGCAAATCACCTTCACGACGTTCACGCTAGTCAATGTGTAGTTTGTGACTCCACTATTAATCGGTATCTTTTCCAGTACAGTTTAGAAAGGTATTGGTACACATGAATGAAATAAAATCAGTAGAACTCAGCTCTACACGAAGTCATCTGCTCTTCAGTTTTCCGCATTTCATAAAAAACCCTTGTGCCCTTCATTACTCATGTTCTACATGGAAACGTTCATTCAATTGAAAAGTTATTCGAGGTTGGAAATTTGAGCGAAAAAAAAACAAATAGACCTGCTCAAAGGAGATAAGATACTGTCAAAAATCCAGTTATACAGTGTATTGGAGATTTTTCACGGGTGATCCAACCACGTGTTAAAGTTTCGGGATGATCGTCCTTCGGTAAAAAGCTAAAAATAGACGCTCTGATCATGCGCTTCGTGTGGCTTCTTCATTGAGTTCCTTCTCCGATGTTGTATTGCATTAGAGCGGGTACTTCTTCAGTGATGTCGCCGTGGCATCTCAATGTCGGTCACCACAGTCGGTTATTCTATACAGCTGCCACCTCTTTTTGGTATTCTTGAAAACGGTGGAGTAGCGCAATGCGGACTACTTATAAATTATTAGTAGCCCTCTCAGAAGAGGGAAGATTTACAGTAGGGTCTTCACTCTGTGTCCCAGTCGACATGGAATCTCACCATGTACATGGAGAGAGTGACGGTGGTACTTTCCCTCTGAGAATGACTTTACACATCGCCGATTCATCACTTGAAGCCGAATGAAAAGATGTTTATCCCGCTAACCGAGAGACCATGGGTTCTGATCCTCCTCAGGGTTCTTGTGAGCCGTTAACTCCAGGATACGTGGGATAGTTTAACAATGCTGCCCTACTTTTTGACATACGTCTTCCGGATCAACTATCCACTGAAAGCTCAGTTAATTGCTGATTCCAATGGTGTGTCAATCTACGCATTGTCGTTAATCCTATCCTTCTAGGAGGTGGTTAGAAAAATATGAGGAAGTTGCGAAATTTTACTAGTTCTACAGCAAGACCTTCGTTGGATGGCGCACATATCCAATCACTTACCAGTAAACACCAAAGTTGCAGAGGGTGTACTTTGAAATAGACTTCCATGCATCTCGTGGAAGAGGAGGGAAAATGAAATCGGCCGGACAAATCAACTCCCTCACCCAGCATGGACCTAAACCTTGAAAATTTTATGAGGCAAATTACTCACAAGGTTGCTGAAGACTCTTCGACAGCCCAAGACCGGTTTCGCCCTTCTTGTGGCTTATCATACTGCGATATCTCGAATATCATGCCAACTGAAACGCCAGGCGACCTGTGTGTAGCACTTTCAGTTGAGTCTCTCGTTAAAATCAAACTGATTTACATATTAGTGTATTTCCTGAAAATTTTAGTTTTTCCACGGCAATTTACTTACAAAATGTCATGAATACTGGCGCTTCTAATGGCCAGCTTTTTCCAGGGTTCGGTGACTTTTTTAGCAGAGAACTTTTCCGTTTGCCTGTCCTGATGGGAGGTGACTACAATATGAACAAATTTCATGCGCGGATCGATAGATTTGATAGATAATCACCTATCAAAGCATGTGAAAAATGGCTACTAAAAATGGCTACTTTGAAAATTCAGTCCAGTTACGTTAATGAGGTATAACTTTTCAAAGTGACCCACTCCCCGCACCGACTTAGCAGCTCGAAAAATCCCACAGATGTTTACCAGCGCACATTTCACCTAGTTCGCACCCAATGATCGCGTGTTTTTGACAAACAAGTATCAAATGCTCTTTTCTAAACTGGTTTTTGATAACAAACTTTCCAATTGACTGGACAGGACTTATCGGAAACTAAGTGTTCAAGTTCATTATTTTGAGGCAACATGCTCTCTTGCCTGTGTGTAATAAAGCCTCACTTTTGAAGAAGATAAAACTGTCTGCTTGGCAGTTTTAACAATCTATACAATAATTACGATGAAATATTTTTGCAAGGAGCCATGAAGCAATACCTGGGAATGACAGCAGCTACTAAACTTTTGCACGTTTGCTATTGGCTCTTTGACATTGGCGGGCGAGCCCTGACTGACCAATAGAAACTGAGTTACATGAGATGATGACGATTGGTCGAATATCGAGCGATAAAAACACTCACTATGTAAGAATCACTCATTAATTATCATGACTATGGGCGAAAATGGATTTGTAAATATGCATTAGTAGCAACACTTTCAGTCTGATTCACTTTCAACATGAAACAGCAAAAAGCAGCCCGGCAAAAATTCAAATGGAAGTTCACAAAAGGCATGTTCCAGAGACCTCTGGAAACCGTGAGTTTATATGTTGCCTTAGTGTTCAAGCACGTTTTACTATCCACGCTGCCAATGAAACCCTGCTTGTCTGTGTTTAAAACTCACTGTTAGGTTAGCAGAAGCTCAAAGAAATCAAACAAGTCGGGAATTGTCGAACTTTTGAATTGATTATGTACGGTTGAAAATATTTTTTCTTTCCCGTGTTGGACAGAATCCAAGGGCACAAAGTGTGCATCACGTTTAGAACGCCCGATGAATTCATCCTTTTCCGCTCTAATGAAAGAACTGCCGATGACAGAGGAGCAGAGGCAAATCACCGTCAAGGCGTTCAAGCTAGTCAATGTGTAGTTTGTGACTCCACTATTAATCGGTATCTTTTCCAGTACAGTTTAGAAAGGTATTGGTACACATGAATGAAATAAAATCAGTAGAACTCAGCTCTACACGAAGTCATCTGCTCTTCAATTTTCCGCATTTCATAAAAAAACCTTGTGCCCTTCATTACTCATGTTCTACATGGAAACGTTCATTCAATTGAAAAGTTATTCGAGGTTGGAAATTTGAGCGAAAAAAAAACAAATAGACCTGCTCAAAGGAGATAAGATACTGTCAAAAATCCAGTTATACAGTGTATTGGAGATTTTTCACGGGTGATCCAACCACGTGTTAAAGTTTCGGGATGATCGTCCTTCGGTAAAAAGCTAAAAATAGACGCTCTGATCATGCGCTTCGTGTGGCTTCTTCATTGAGTTCCTTCTCCGATGTTGTATTGCATTAGAGCGGGTACTTCTTCAGTGATGTCGCCGTGGCATCTCAATGTCGGTCACCACAGTCGGTTATTCTATCCAGCTGCCACCCCTTTTTGGTATTCTTGAAAACGGTGGAGTAGCGCAATGCGGGTTCTAACACTAGCTTGACCAATCAGCTCCTATTACCAAACCAGTCGGTATCAAAACCGGAACGGATACCTAGACCAATTAAAAATGCATGTGACTGTGTGGGACAATACCAGGGAGCAGAATACACGTCCACAATACACACCTAATTCGAACAGAAAGCATTTTCAATTGCAGAGTATGGTTTATTTACCACGCCATCCAACAACACCTTCCTTACATGTTGCACTTCAATGTTGCGGCTAGTGATCAGAGTACTGCAGTCTATTCACTCATTTTTCGAAATGAATTCATTTGCAAGCAAATTTGGTTTTTCGAGAGACTCACCTGGAACACAACTGAATCTCTCGTTTATGGTGTTTTTGGAAAACTGAATTTGTGGTGCATCAGGCCGCTTCATATTTCATTCGGTAAGATATTCGAGATATCGCGATACATGTGCAGTCGTAATACACTACTCATGAAGTTGCTGAAAATTCTTTGACAGCCTACGACCGGTTTTGTCCTTCTTGGGACTTATCAGGTAGGTGCAGTCCCCGAGTTTCCGTCAACGTTATGTTTTACTTGACCCCGAATTACATTGACCAAGCGAAATACAATCATTTGCAAACAATTTGGTTTTACGGGAGACCCACCGGGAACCCCGCCGAGTCTCGCGTTTATGATGCTTTTATTCATTTATTGTACGTCTGCACTCCAACTTTTAGGAGAATTATTTCAGAACTAAACTGAATTTCCGGAAAATAACTTTCAGCTTACTCCAAATTCTGTGGATTGTATTCTGACATCAAATTTGACAGTCCCGGGCTGTTTTTATTGATTGATTGTTAGTGATTGTTGACAGTTTTTGATTTTCTGCTCGTGGTTTCTAAACTTTGGCCCGCTAATATCTCCTGTTCAACGTTGATGCAAAAACATGGTCCGAAAGGCAATAGGAAACTGCTGATTTTCGATCTTTGAGTGCTTGAGGAAGATCCAGGGTGAATTTTGCACTGCATATTCCGGCATATTTCTCTGAGTGTATATATATATATATATGCCTATTTCTAACATGGCTCTAGAAAACCCCGATAGCTATTCCTTTCCTTAATGCGGAGTAAAACTTTCTGAGAAAAAATAAGATCCATTGCTTCTCAATCAATTGGAAAAGGTTTGGAACCCACTGAGAAGCCTTTCTGAAAGCATAACTTTTGTTTGTTACGACATCAATCCAGAAGTAGTATTTTTTCGGGCAAACTACTTATAAGGTTGCTGAAAACGCTTCCATGCAGGCGGCTGGTTTAAGGCTCATTAACCAGATGAAATTCTCGGGTTTCCGTGATTTATACGTTCCACGTGGACCCTAATTTTACGAAACTCGCGAACTGCACCCATCATCGTACTCGGTTGGTTTTAACGCGGGTCCTCAACGATTCCTACCTGTATCTCTCGTCTATGCTACCTGGAATATTATACCAAGTGAAACGTGAGTTGGACTTTGTGCAGCATATTCATTTGAAGAATAT